CACATCAAACTCTTTTCCACATGCACTGCATCCCACATGAAATAAGGTCTTGTAATTTTCTCTGCAGGGCTGAGTGATGTCAGTATGACCTTAGCGACCAGCTGCTGTTTACTAGACTCAATCCCATACTGCACATGAGAAAACCTCAAAGAAAATCACTCATATCCAAGCAGTAAGGGAGGGACACCAGCACTACACACAGATAAATCTCAGAACTCTACAGTCTATAAAGAGAGCTCCATCTGGAAGAACCAGGACACCTAAAATAAGCATGCATACATACATATAATCCAGAATATTACACAAGCGCTCCAAACCTTTACACACACACACACACACACAAACACATGTGGGCCTATAAAGGCTATATGCAGTACACTCTCAGAAAAAAAGGTACAAAAGCTGTCACTGGGGCAGTATCTTTTCAAAAAGTACTATTATGTACCATTTTAAGTACTAAAATATGTATGCTTTTGATACAAATATGCACCTTTAAGGTCTTTATATGCACCCTTTAGGGCTAAATAAGGTCCAAAGGGGTATCTTTTGAAAGGGTCCCGTCCCAGTGACAACTTTTGTACCTTTTTTCTGAGAGTGTAGCAACAATTAATCTAAGAGAACTGATTTTACTCATAACTATGGTTGCAACTAACGATTATTTTTATAATCAATTAGTTGGCCGGTTATTTTTTCGATTAATCGGATAAAGAGCCTTTCTTTTTTACTGACAAAATACACAAATTCTACATGTTGCCCAATGCTGTCCTTCAAACAGACTTGCCAACTGAATGCTATAAGCATATTGTATGGAGAAAATATCTATAGCTTTGCTATACATTATGTGCAAAAAGAGTTATAAAGCACAGTTTAAATGGAGAGCTTAAGTAGACAAATGGACAAAGGACAGTTTAAATCCCTACACTAAAAATGGAGATAATAATGATGATAAATCTTCATTAAAGATGAATAAAGAAAAACACAAACTCGGTGTTAACAGATGAGAGGAATGTTCTGCATGAACACACGCATTCAAAATGCTTGAATTACATGTAGACTTTTAACCCTAAATTTAACATCTAATAACAGATATTTCAGCAAAATGAATATTTTATATAAAATGAATAAATTTTCCCCCTCTCTACTGCGTTCAGTCTGTTTGAAGCGCCGGCGTTCGTTCAGTAAATTCAGTTTAACGCAGACTTTCCGGATGGGCCTTCATGCAAAATAGAAACGCATGCATGAATATGGAACATTTACAGATATGAATATAACCGTAAAATGAAAGTTTTGCGCTGAGGAATCATTTCACGCATTAAACACACACATCTGTCAAAGCGCTTGACAGGATGAGCCATGTTAAATATGATGCTAATGCATTAGTTTGAAGTTTAAAATAAAGCATTCGCATGTTTTGGGCAGCTTGGATCACGCACTTTTCCTGAAGCAGCTCACTCTGTTTCTTCCACTATTAGATTCATTTCGTCCATAGAAACGTGTTATTCAGTGGTATAATTTGACGCAACTGGTGGAAGTTTTCCGTGCACGGTGGGCAGATGCGACTAATCGATAATGACATCCGTTGTCGACGATTTTTATTATCGATTAGTTGTTGCAGCCCTACTCATAACTCAATTTTGACAAAGTACTTACTGCTTTTCAAATATTGATTTTCGATATGCATATCTATATTTATAAGGTTACTGAAAAATTCCAACTACAACCAAAATCTATTCTACACACACCCCTAAATAGTCCGAATGGGCCGTTTTTTACGGTTCTAGAAAAGAGTTTTCTGTGAAGGAGAATATCTCCTTTCAGAATGGACTTTGAGCTTTGTAACCTTGCAGATCTTTTTACGCTAAAAAACAGCAACATTACACACTAACTAAAGTTGAAAAAGAGAAAAGGCATAATAGGACCCTTATTCAAATGCACTTAAATGAAGACTTGCCATAGTGTTGTATTGATTTTAGATAATGCTCATTAAAATGACTTCTGACCAACCACCATAAAAGAAAACCTTCTGCATGGTTAGAATTAAAAAAACTCCCAAAGGGAGGTTCTGTCAGATTTAGCTCATGTCTGGGGCAATTTATGTCCCACAAGTATTATTTCAGTGAGTAAACACACAGAGAGAGAGTCATCTGGAAGCTGGTGGCGCCGTAAAACCACAGAGTCAGGGGTCATCAATGAGAGACGTTGATTTCTCATTTTAGGTTTAGCCTGGTTTTACAGATTACCCAGAAGGCCAAAAAGAGTCTGAAAGAATTTCTCTTTTAAATTCACAGAGGAAGTGCTTCCATTTAAACGACCATGTTGAATTTACATGCTGGTCCAAGCTGGTTTTTCTACTTAGTTCTAGCACTATGTTGTTTTCCAGCAAAATGTAATGAAACTGTCTGAACAAGTCTTGCTGGTTAATTGAACTGATCAAATGTACACCTCAATGTAATGGATAAAGGTGTCTGCCAAACGCTTAAATGCAAATTAAATGGTCTAATAGTATATTCCATTAAAATTCAAGATATTAAACTAGTTTAAAAGCCTACGCTGCAATAAAAAAAAAAAAATCTTACTTAATATTTTTGTCTTGTTTAAAGTACAAGACAAAAACTTTTTTGAAAAAAAGGTAAAAACAACAAAAATAATAAAAAACTACAAAATTACTAAAACCTAACTAATGCAATATGAAAGCAGAAAATATATAAAGTCTAATTAAAAATATTAACAAACTACAATAGTATCTGAACATTTTTAAATCAAGAAACATTTATTTGAGGAGGTAATAAGTCTTAAAAAAAATTAACTTAATTCAAAGGGAAAACTAGTTTTGTTTTTCTTAGATATTTGTTACTATTTTAAGAATAAAGTCAATTAATTTTAATATTTTTTCCCCTTTCTTTAAAAAAAAATACTAATCATATGTGATTTTGCTTCTTAATTCTCAAGTATCTTGATTTAAGAATGTTTAGATAATTTATTGAAAAAATAAGCTAAAACACTCTTTTGCTGTGTAATATTGTGGTTTCAAAGCAAACAGCATCCAGATCACATGGCAGCAACATCAAAGCTAATGTGTGCCATCTTTACAGTACTTTCTCTTTGATCTAGTTTGATACAGGAACGTTTACTCAACCCATTAATGTTTCAGGTCGGGACTATCTGTTTGTCTGACCAAACTCTGAAGGAAAACATGAATTTTGCAGTACTTTTAGTGGTGTTATTGCCATAGAAATGGAAATTTTCACACTCAGAAGTTGTGCTGTAATGAACAAACACATGCACCAAAATAACACAGCTTGGTTTTCCACGGAGCATCCCATGTGTCCTAATTTAACCCTGAACCGTTCTACTTTAGGTCATTTGTTCTCTCATGAGGGAAAACAGTGGCCTGCGGCAATGGCATCATGCGAACAGAGAGCCCTGGGGACGCGCCGATCTGTGTGTGTGTGTGTGTGTGTGTGTGGAGAGAGTCTTCAGAGAGTATCTGCTTTTGGTAGGAACTGCACAGATTTTCCAAACAGTCCAAAAACCCTCAAGCTGTCTTTGTTCCTCTTGTTGACTTCAAATGCAACATAGCGCAAACACACACATGCATTCATGCACTATCACACTCAAACGATCCGTTCAGTCTCTCCTCTGATGCACTTTTGCTGAACGTTTAACCTCGAAAGGTGTGCTTTTGATGTGTGGGAACTGTAGTAAGAGGTTATATAGCAGTCTACACATTTACTGTGCTCAAGTCCTCTTGGGAAGTTCATATTTACAAGTTGGGATGTCGTAATTATGACATCAGATGCGAGTCACTTTAATCAGAGCAAGATGGCAATGTAACATTTCTACCAAAAATTCTGAGAAGTATTTTTTGTAAACTACTTCTTTAAAATTATTAATAAAGAATGCACACACTAAGTGTGTTTTTGCTTTTTTTAATGCATTTATTCTATATCTGAAGGTGCTGTAAATTTAATCATTACATATAAGCTGTATAAAACTAGCTAAGTTGCATATATAAAACACATATACAATAATTACAATAAAATATGCATAATGATTCAATTTTAACAATAACCGATAAACCTTCAAAGACACACCTGCTGTGAGCTCTGAGGTTAATCGATTGTGCATGTTTTTGTTGAACTCATCTGTTCACATTAATTCAACTTTTTAAAATAATCGCATTAAATAGCAAAAATTTGTAGTGAAAAACCACATTACCCATGATGCAGTGCAGAAAATCCCACCAATTGCATTAAGCAAATTGCAAGAGAGATCTTTAGCTCCGCCCACTCCCATGAAACTCTGTGAATGATGTAATCGAGTCAAGCTGTGCACTCAAAATAATTAAATATTTGTATAGCTATGCATATTTTGCAGAAAAACTTAAAATATATTGTATCTATAAATACAACCAAAAAACTTTAAATTAATAGTTTTATTTTTCTCCGTCATATTAAATTCAATTATATCATTCGCAATAGTTATAATATTCGTAGTTCTTTCCCTCATTTAAGTGGTTAAGTTCACAGACTTGTATCTCAAATATTTTTTGCTTCAAATCAAAGTTTATAATGTTGTGACTCTCCTCGTAGCTAGTTGGTTTGGTTCATAGAGTATAATGCTTTAAAGAAGACTTTTTTTAAATCCCCATGGGAAAAATAATTTAGGAACCGCAGCGCCACTGAAAAAGTGGGCGGGCACTAATGCAGTCTATTGGCGATTGGTTCTTTATTTAGAAGGCAGGGCTTATTCTGTGTTGCAATTTCTCCCATTCATAGTAAAAGCAGACTGTCTTAGTATATCTTAAGACTTTGCTTGAATGCACCTGACATGATAATTACGAACTTCCCAAGAAGGCTTGAATGCACTGAATTTGAGGAAGCTTTCATGTGCATTCAACGTTTGCAGCATAACTTGAATTCACCGATTCACATTTCCAATTTTCACAATTCAAATCCACTTTACATAGGCTAAGTAAACAACAAGCCTCTGTGACTCACCTGTGTCTTGTCTGAACTGATGCATGGACTGCAGGTCTATGACGTAGGGTGTGAGCTGCACATCCACCTGCCCCAGTATGACGGTCCCTCGTGCGTCTCCCTTCAGGACGTTTTCGATGTGATGACAAACAGCGGCGGTGTATGGCCTCCAGCGGCCGTGTTCGTTCAGCCATTCCCAAACCACCACCCTAGCCATGCTCTGAGACGAGTATCCGCCTCCCAGAACTCCAGAGCCGGGTCGAGCCATTTGATTCAACTCCACACCAACAGCAAACAGAATGGACTTCGTCCCAATATACGCAGGGAAAAACTTTCCAATAGAATGTTCCTACTGAAAACACATTGTGAAGATTCAAAACTCTTGACTTTGCTTAAGAACGAGCGCACAAACTGCAGAAGTCAATGCACGTCCTGCAGCAAAACGAATTAGACGCTGCTCTGTTCACATGAGGGATCCGCCGCTGTAATTGAGTTTGCTCACATAAACTAGATTAGTCTCTAGTATTCCAGCTCTGGAAGTAATCATGCTCTCCGAAGTAACTCCTCCTCAGCAGAAAAATCCAAAATAGATGATCTGAGACGGAGTCCAGTCACTGCTAGCGATGCTCAGATAATCCTGCAGTCCTGAAGTCCAGTTTTCTGGTCTAGATCCAGTTGAAGGAGAACACGCTGCTCTTGGACAGGACTGCCAGTTTTTGCATCCACATGGTCTGCAATACTATTGCGTATGTAATGAGACAGAAAAAGAGAGTGAAAATCAGCCCAAAAATATATAAGCAAACTTCATTTATTTGAAGGTCCCACTATATAGTTGTAATTATCATTAAAAATAATGAATTTATCATTGGCTGCTGTGCTCTTTCATCAGTGGTGTCATACCTACAGTAGATAAATCGAATGCATATCTAAATATTTAAAATATATAATTTTGTGCCATTTTTGTGTTGCAGTAACACCACTTGCATTAAAATCTGTGATTGCTTTCATGCGAAAATAGTAAATTAATAACTTTATTTTAAATTAAATCTAATTCATATTATTTAAAAAAAAACTAATACAATTTATTATTTTTTAAACTGGAAAATTATGCGTTATGAAACATGTGCATGCATGTTAATTTTTCTTTAATAATTTTAAATGCATTTACATATTAATTATAAGATCATATAGTATTTCGAGTAGCCTAGCAGTTTTTTTTTTTAAACATAATAGTTTTTACATGAATTGTTTTCATCGCAGTTTGACTTTTGCCATCAGTAGGTGATACTGTGAACTGCATGTACTGATGCCACATGCAAAACCTATAGCAAATCATGTCAAGACATATATGCATGTGAACATGATATACTGAAAACACACATACGCATACAGAGAGAGAGAGAGATCCCTCTCCTCCTGGTACCCATGAGCCCTTTAACAAACCCTAAGGAAAGATCCTGTATCAGTGATCAATAACTGCAGACCTCTGATGATTTACATGATAAACTCATCATAAATCCAAAAGAAACCCGTGTTCTTCTCAGCGCAAACCAATCCCGAATGAATCGCATGTGGCCTCGAATCTAAACCAGTTCTAGCCACACATCTGTCTGAGGTCCGTTTTAACGGGCATGCGTGTGAAAGAGCCGGTTCTGCTCATAAATCCGCTCTCGGCTCATCTTCATGTACGAACAAATGATCTCGTTCTTCTCCATATGTGCTCCAGCTCCGCGTCTCCTCCGGATTTGATCATCAGAATCTCATCAGTGCATCACGCCGAAGCAAACGGGACGATTTTGTCCACTAAAGCGACAATTCATTACCAGATTATGAAATAAGGGAATGTGCGCGCTTACGGATCTCTAGGAATAAACGGGACGCACATGAGCCCTGATGAATTCATTTATCCAGGCTCATTCTGAATTCGACATCTCACATGGATAGGAAATTGGTGTTATTTCGTATCAGGTAGAGCGTGTTTTGCCTCAGCACAGACGCAGAAATGAGGAAAAATGAATCAGTCACCTGTGATGTGAAGCGTCTCCGCCGAACCTGAGGTCTGATCCGGAATAAAGGACGGGTAAGAGAAACACTGACGTCTCTCGCTCTGCTTGAGTTCAGCATCACTCACACACTGATCCGAATCACTGTAAGCATAGATGAGTGAAGAGATACCAACAGAGAAACATCCCAGTGTTGTTATACTGTACCCTCCTCCTCCAAGAACCTTCAAGGTTCATTTAAAGACATTATGCGGCAGGATCCCATCAGGACTTTACATTTGTATGGATGTCAATGGTGAAGATGCATCATGCTAATGGTCAACATGTTCACCATTAGATATTCATATTACTGGAGTCTGCTCCTAAGAGGCTTTATTTAAAAACAAAAAAAAGCCAAGTATAGGCCTAATTAAACATGCAGGGCTCTATAAATTTTTTTTATTTTTATATTTCTAGCACTTGTACATTCATGTACACTGCACTTACAAACTGCATGAATAATGTTATGAGATTAATATAAATATATTTATATATAATAGATATAAATAAATACTGGAATATAGAATATGACGATTTTAAATGTAAAAAAACAATTGCCAGTAGATGTCGGCAGGCCACTGTCTTAATAAGTGAGCAAATTATTCAATCCATTCTTTCAAAACAAATGATTCACTCAGGAAGGAAGAAAATTTGTTTTTATGAATGGATCAGTGAATCATTGACTCGCCCGATTTGTTCAAAAATGCAAATTCTTTCAGTAAGGAAACAGCGCTGTATGTTGCTGCAGAGACACACATCATGGATTTGTTTGGAATCATTTTCTTTGGTGAAACAGAGCAAAAAAAGACAATATTGTCTCCACAATTAAAATGAATTAATATTTACATCGTTTATTGCCCTGACACAAAGAAAAATCTGTCATAGACCATGCTACCCAAACCATTCATATAAAATATAACATAAGTAATAAATCAACAAACAAGTTTAAAGTTAGATTAAAGATAAACAAATAGAACAAATAATTAGATAAAAAATTTAAGATCTTTAAAAACATGTCCTATTTTCATTACAATTACGGAGTAAAATCAATAAAAAAAAGTGTATAAACAAATTAATAACCATTTTAAGGGTGATTAAGAACAGACACCAGATATCAGAAATCTGATTAATTTACATTAAAAAACATTATGATCCACATAGAATCATTGATTTACATATCGAAAAATAAAATAATTAGATAATAACACTGACTTTAAAAAAAATAAGTATATAAATAAATTAATAAACATTAAAAGTTAGATTAAAGGCAGGTAAATTAAATTAAATCATTTACACTCTTAAAAATAAAGGTGCTTCACGATGCCATAGAAGAACCTTTTTGTCTAAATGGTTCCATAAAGAACCTTTAACATCTGAAGAACCTTTCTGTTTCACAAAAGGTTCTTTGTGGCGATAGAAGGTTCTTCAGATTATTAAAAGGTAAGAAAGAGATGGTTCTTTAAAGAACCTTTGACTGAATGCTTCTTTGTGGAACCAAAAATGGTTCTTCTATGGCATCGCCTTAGTCCTACTTCTTGCCTTAAGCCTTCGTTTGTTTCGCAGACGTTTTCCTCTTTTGTTTTTTATCCGCCATCTCTATCTTTCTGTCGCTCGGCTCGGCTAATGTCCGTCTCGTGCACTGAACGCTCTCTCCTCCACATCACGAGTAGACACGCCCCTTACTGCTGATTGGCTACAAGTTTGTTTTGCTATTCGCCCGAATCAGTTTTCTAAAGCGTTTTTGGAAAATCGCTTACCCCACCTTTAATATACAGATTACTAAATTTGATATTTTAATATTACTGTTTTAAATATATTAAGGCACTTTAAGCGTTTTTACAACATTTTGTGACACTGTTTTAATGATTGAAATATTGCCAGGGGTGCTTAATAGGCTATGGATTGCAATCGGCCAAAACTTGCATTTTGTTCACATACCTTTGTTTTATTCTTTTGAGAGGTGATCTAAATATTTGCGGCTGTGAAGCAGATGGAAAATTGACAGGCTTGTGCCGCAGTTCTATGGATGTTTTGCCCTCCAGGGGCCTGTACCATGATGGTAGAAGAACAAATTCAGTTACAGGATTAGTTTCGAGTTGACAAAACCAAACCACTCCAATCCGGCTTTGTTGGTACCATGATGCTGATCAACTTTCTTTGTCAACTCAGGCGTTGATCCTGAGTTTGTGGAGCATGTGCACATGAATGTGTGACATCACTGGCGAACAGCCAATCACGAGCCTTGGTTAAAGGTTTTGCTAAAGGTTAAGAGATTGAAGAATATGATGAATTTAAATGCATTTGAAAGAGGACAAATAAAAGAAATGATCTTGCTTTATCAGTGCAGTCACAAGTGAAACTTGTTCAGTTAGTTTACTGTATATAGTTGGAAACATACAGCAATTGAGACTCAAACACGTAGTCATTTTTAAAGCATTATCTATTGATTCTACAGCTTATTTATATTACATACAATCTGTATATATTAACATTCATTTAAAATAAATGATTTATAATAACTGTTAAACTAAAATTGATTGTGTGTAATGAATTAATAATAATATAAATCATATAAAATAATTATCATTAAAGCCAGACATTTTTTTTAGTGCTAGTGACCTTTCATTTGGAGCAAGAGAAACTGGGGGAGGGACTTTTTTTGTGTCAGACATGTGTCACTTTGCTCACATCTGATTGGTCCAATTTCAGTTTGAGATTTCTTACCCAGAACATAACCTGCCCTGGAGCAGGTTAGCCTGGAGTATAAGTTACAATGGCAATGAACGCAGCTAAAAGCCAAGCCACTATCATGGTACCTAAAACCCAGGATTGGTGCAAACTAAACTGAAACTTACCTGACTAGCCAGCTAATCCGGCTTCATGGTACAGGCCCCAAGTCTTCGAGCCGGTCACGTGACTGAAAGCTATGTGAATCTTTTGATTCAGCTCCGAAGTTCCGATCTGAATCAAATGTCAATCATGAATCACGCATCGCGAATCATTTAATTCAGATTGGAATTTTGGAGTGCTTTTTTATTAAACAGTATGAACATTAAAGCAAAAAAGCAGTACATTTACACAGACAAAAAGCAAAAGAAAGGAAAAAATACAAAAATATACAGAGACAGATAGGTTTGCCAGCATAGCAAAAAAAAAAAAAAAAAAAAAGTTAAGGATGAATAAAGAGATGCAGTTTTCATTGCTTTCAGACTAATTGAATTTCGGATAGTTTCCATATATTTCTCTAAATCAACTTTGTATAAAGAAAAGAGAGGTTTGGAGCCAGTACATTTTTGTTTGTGTAGCTATATGAAATTATGTACAAATATTTTCCTGTACTATCTTCTTTTAAGTGGTCAAACAATCCAAAGAAAACATCTTTAAAATAAAAAGAGAAGTCACTTACAAAATAAAACTGGATGAACATTAAGAAATCTGACCAACATTTCTGAGTGTGGGTACATTGCCAAAACAAAACGAATGAAGTCTTCCTCACAAGAGTGACAAAAACAGCAGCTACTTCAATGTCCGGCTTGTATTTCTTAAGAAAAGCTTTAGCTAGGTAACCTTTGTGAATCAGTTTAAAAGTTATTTATTTTACTTTATTGGTAAGCAGATAGCCTATCTATGAGGCAAAGAAAGAAAGAAAGAAATGTATTGTCAAAGATAAATACAAATTATAATAATAAATGTACACCCTAAGAGTACACATAGGAGCTGCAGTTTTCACTGCTTAGGTTATTTACAGAACTTTTCATAGGCTACTCGTCTCTAGAACAACTTTGAATAAAGAAAAGATTTAGAGCATTTAAAGATTTAAAGTAAGTTATATCAAAGTCCCTTTATTCTACACTCTAAAAAATGCTGGGTTAAATATAACCCAGCGCTGGGTTAAAAAGGGACAAGCCCAGCTATTGGGTTGTTTTGACCCAGCGCTTGGGTTGTTTTGACCCCAACCGTATTGGGTTGTTTTGACCCAGCGGTTGGGGTCAAAACAACCCAACCGCTGGGTCAAAACAACCCAATAGCTGGGCTTGTCCCTTTTTAACCCAGCGCTGGGTTATATTTAACCCAGCATTTTTTAGAGTGTACAGTGCTTGGTTATATTTTACACTCTAAAAAACGTTGGGTTGTTTACTGTACCCAAATCTGAGTTGAACATATTGTATCACTCGTTGGGCTTTTCTTAAAGTATATTGTGTCTCAACAAGTCATTAACTGACGGACTGGAGTGCTGTGGATTACTTGTGGATTATTGTGATGTTTTTATCAGCTGTTTGGACTCTCATTCTGACAGCACCCATTCACTGCAGAGCATCCATTGCTGAGCAAGTGATAGAATGCTACATTTCTCCAAATCTGATGAAGAAACAAACTCATCCTAATCTTGGATGACCTGAGGATGAAGACATTTTCATCGTCTCCACACTGCACACGTCTTGTTTTTAAACGCAATAACTTAATCGAGCCACTAGAGGCCGCTATATCACCGCTTTAACGAAAGACAGAATAAGCAACAACGAACTGATCCAACATGTGAGGATGAGTGAACGTCCTTATTTTTTGGGTTAAGTATTAATTTCTGCATTTTCATATATAAATTATTGTACGATATTACGCTAAATGAACTGGACTTTTCGCAGCATGTAGGCTATAATTACTATACCGAGTCAGCAGAGAGAATAAGTCTGTAATTTAAAGTTTACGTTATGGTGGATGATAAACTGCTTCAGTTGAAAAGGAGATCAATTGATGACTTTATTTAATAATACATTTTTGTTGGTTTTAGTGTCATTTATAGGAAACCATTTAGCATCCATGACATTTTACTCAAATCAAAAACAAGGGAAATAGCAGGTCAGGAGATGATCCTGCGAATGAAAGCACCACATATATAAGGAACATCACATTAGAAGCAAAACACATCGAGACGAATGCATCTCAAAGCCATTAAGATCTATTTATCTTTCAGAAGACCATATTTATCCACCAAGACCAGACTGTGATCTTTAATAGAGATGAGCGATACAGAGAATATCATA